ATAAAATAAGTCACTGGTAAACGAATAATTTTCTGTTTATGTAGTATTTTTTATCTCTTTTTTTAAAAGATGACCTTATACCTAGTATATTGACTTTTCGTCATCTACGGTTGCAAACACATACAATAACCCACACACCCATATCAAAATAAGAATCCATATTCATTCTAATGAATAGAAGTCATGTTTAAAAGTTTGCGTTTTAGATTGTCTTGTTTTATTTTACTGCAGACGTTCTAAACACGTGCCTTTAGGTATGCCTTGATATGCTAGAAAAACATAATGAAATACTTTCTGAAATTCACTTTTTTAAAACACTTGGTTTAAAGTAGTATTCGAAGTTTACGAATAAACAACTAAACTAAAATAAAACACCTTAAAGTATTTGTACACAAAACAAATACTTTATAAGCTGTTTAACTGTATATGGTAGAGGAATCGGAGAGATTTAATCTAGTTCTATGATAAATACGATACTTATATACCATCTCTGAAATATGAAGCTACATTAACCTTTAATGATGTTCGTAATGAAATATGAAGAGCAATGATTAGCAACAATAAAAAAAAAACAAGTTATAAAACTCACGGTCGCTCCTTTTCAATAACCAACCTACAATAGCTTGTATATAACCAAATTAAAATTAGTTTTAGTATTGCCTTGAAATATTATAAATAGTAAGTGCAGGCATTAACAAGTGTGGCTAATGCAAAGCATGTAATATCTCGGCCTAATATTCTCCTTTAAATAATATTATTAAGGTATAATGAAATCAATCGGTTCATTGCTGCAACGTTTCCCAGGCGCTCCTTCAAGAGCCAATGTAAAATACTCTCGATTTCGAAACAATTACACTACGCATACTAGCGTGTGGAAACATCTTAATGATCGCTATTGTGGCTGTGGCTTAATAGGTGGTGCGTATTCGTTTCCTCAGTAGCTGATGGCACTATTCAAAGGATCCCGTTTCTCTCCCACGATCCAGTTTCTTGGCGTGTGTTACTGTCATGTTGATGATGATGACGGTTGTTTTTGCATCAGCAATTATGTACAGTTTGTTGTGAGTTTCTCTCGCACTACAATTACGAATTTGTGAGAGTCGTAGGAAGGTCTTTCCTTTGTTTAACGTACCTTAACTATCGCAGCGTACATCAATTTACAACAGTTACGTACGCACGTATTAATTGGGCAATTTGGTTAAGAAAAAACGCGTTTTACTTAAACGCCGTGACGAATCAATATCAGCGAGTTATCGTTACGAACTGTCGATGAATATTATACGTGTATTGTAAAAGAATAATACATGCTAACTTGAGTCAGTATCGGTCACGGCCATTAATCCCATTCATTTTGTTTCCTTAAACCAGGAAATTTGTTTTCAAAACATAATTTCCTATTAGTATTTATAAAGCTTACGTTACGTTATTTTGAAGATATATGTGTATATCATGATGCTTCGCTTGAGAACTCTATGAATTGTAATTAAAAGAAAAATAATATAATGGTATTATTAGAAGTCTGAAAAAAATTAAAACTCATTGCTTAGTTCAGCAATTTTTTTTAGACATACGTAGGTGTCAATTTGACCCACCGTGACTTTACATGTTCATAATTCTATATAGGATTTATTGCTTAATTCTCACATGACGTTACGGTTAGGTAAGTTAAAAGCCTATTTTATTGAAAATTCTAATAAAATGAGTTTAAAACTTATGTTAACCAATTTAATAAAGCCGTAACCAGACTCCTTTTGACTATGTGAGGCTTAGCTAATGCCACACGATTTCGATTTTACATGGACGGTGACATTACACGACATGATAAGTTTGACTAAAATAAAAAGGACGAAGACAAGACACTATGTATTTAATGCCTAAAAGAAGCGATTTGATAAGAAAAAGTTGGTAGGTATAGCCAATACATGAATATTTATGATAAATGTTGACACGGCTTTGTTATCCACAGCCAGTGTGTATTACAATACAAATAATAGCATTTCGTCAGGTTCCATTCAAAGCACTCAATTGTTACTGTTTACGACTGAAGAAAACAGTGAGAATAAATTTCAATGAATGCAAATAAAAAAATGCAATCAAGTAGATTAACCTTGTTAATTTTATTCTATGACAATGCAACTATTAAACGTGAACTTATTTTGCTAGAGCAAAATTCGATGTGGCGTGTGTGTATTAACAAATGAATGTCAGATAAATATAATGTAACTACTTACTTAACGTTTGTAATAAAATGTAATAGCAGTTTTGACCATGACAGAATTAGTAAGGAAAGTAGTGTCAAAGCTTTGTAAAGGACTTCATCATTGCGTTTATTCCTGTTGCGTCTATCTATCTATCTCTGTGTTATATTTTCAGTTTGAAAGTTGAATGCCAACAAAAATAGTTATCAGTATGTCTTAGTGTTTTAATATGAGACATGTGGTCCTTGAAATACGGTCCTTTAAAAAATATATTAACAATTTTATTTATAAAAGAGATATCAAGGTATTTAAAGCAAAGTATCTAATTACAACTATTAGTGTATCGTTCTGACAGTTACTGTGAGCCGTTTTACATTACACTAAGAGCTGTGAAAAGCCAGTAGATGATAATTACCTATGTAGCTCAATTAGACCGTTAATATTAATGTGATGATGCAGGAAAGTCTAATTCTAAGGCTGATATCGTCTTCAGCGTAATGGGAAAAATTGGGGAAAAGAATCTTAATCAGTACTGAAGGAAGTGGTTCCTTCCGGTCTATTTCGAGGATTAGCGATGCGTAACAAGCAATAGCATAATTTTATTGTTACATTTTGTGAAATAAAAATGCAAATATTATATCACAAATCATATTTAGACATAAATTGTCTGACCCCATAGCACTTGCTAGATAAAAATACTTGATAATAAAATACCTTACAAAATAAATTCTGGTACTTAGTTGAACATAAAAAGGTCGAACAGGTTCCATTTGCAGGCAGTGGTTTCTTATGGGCCTGTGCCGATGGTCACCTCGCCTTGTCTCGCCATAAATAGTGATAACCGACGAGGTCGCGGCACGTTGCGCAACCACTGATGGTCTTTCCTTTTTAGTGTATCATTATTTCAGTATTTACTCCCAAAATGTACTGAACTAACGAGTAACCTACCTTTATGATTGATTATTTACTTGACCTACATATTAACTGCATTGGGTATAAGCTGAGCTTGTCTAGCATCAGTCAGTCTGTTTCAATATGCAATTCATGCAATTACCAATGCTTCTGAAGACTCTAGATACAGATACACCATTACACACACACCACAGATTCTAGATCAATTAGTAATCAAATAAAAACATACTCAATTTAAGAGTGAAAAAAATATATCTTAGGTGGTAAATGCGTTTTTACACGCTTTATATTAGCTTCACTTGTATGTTCTGTATGTTTGTAACCGACTCCTTTGGGCGTGATTCTGACTGACTTTAAACGGTCAGAATTCGTTCAAACTTTGTAGATATATCGAGGACCGATGACAATACACTAATTAAAAAAAAAAGTATAGTTTTAAAAAACTAAAAAACACGCTTTCTATATAAAAAAAATAAGAAATAGAAAATAAATTTGAAAAAAGCGTTGGGTGCCTGCTGTCAATAGTAAAAAGCACCCCACGCTTTTTTCAAATTTATTTTAAACACGTTTTCTATAGAAAGCGTGTTTTTTAGTTTTTTAAAACTATTTATTTTTTATTTTTAAATTAAAACAAATTTTCTTCACATCTAAAGTTAAAGTATGCAAGTTCTAGGCTTTGTAACTTTCAGTGTGATTGTAAAATTATTTTTATACGTTTGTTTTTACCCCCGTTAAGCTCATGTGTTAAAAATATAAACTTGGCGGAATAAATTGAAGCGTTGAATTTTTAAGAACTTTTACTAGTTTACTAGTATGTGTGTGTGTGAGACGCCATGAACAATCTTAATTGGCTTCATTGTGAAAAGAGTGTCTAGTGGAATAAGTCCCAATTAAAAATGATACCTCAGTAGCAGTCCTGTATCAACATCTATAAAAGTGTAGGAAAGTATTACAAACATGATCTTTTCAGAATTTAGTTTTTTTTATGTGTATTAAACAATGGAATTTTGAAATGATGTGTTCTAATGGTCAGTAGTGAACAGAACAGTGTAGTTGAACAGTTGGACTCAGTAATAATGACTGTTTAACACCGTTTACAAAGAGAAAGGTACTTGACCATCCAAAACAGTTGCAAGTAGCTGACGTTCAATTAAAATGAACCGCTCAAGGCCCGACTTCGCAAACACAACAAAATAAGCAAACGAGTAAATGCAAACCACGGGCATCTTAATCGTAGCTGAGTACATTCAAATGTCACGTGCAACTGATGACAACTAATGAAATAAAGATAAGACGGCAATGAATTCGTGGTAAGACAAATGAGCAGAGCTTCGTTTGTGATGGGCGTGACGATATTTGGCAGAAAAGGAGAACTGATCAATGCGATACCTTATGTCACCGGAGATGTCTCGTTAGACGATGTTAATATGACTTCCTAATGTATTTAATGTTGTCATGCTATGCACGTACAACGGATGAATGAAAATCAATTGTCTGATGGTTGTGTAAAAGAAGAGTCATAACTCTCGTTAAAACGTAATGTATTCATAATGATTTCACATATTTTAGTAATAGTCATCATCGTTTCAACTGGATAACAAACTATTGCAGTTTTAAAATAAAATCAAAAGGATCCTTATCTTCTTATTGTGTCAACTAACCTATATCTACTTGTGTAACAGAGTTTAACGTGTAAAAGAATTCATTATGCCGACAGTCTGATAAGTGTGAACGTTCGTATGAGAGTTCTATTTGTAGTTATCTTTATACAAGATCCTCAAAACGACATAAAATAGATACATACATATTGAACTATAGTATAATTATTATTTTACTCATATTATTGTTATTTTGGTTACCAGTATAATAGATTACCTCGTTTTGTTTTAGGTGAAGCGAAAAACTTGCCAGGACGCAGTCATGGGGCGCCCTGTCACCGTGACATATACTGCGTACTCTCGCTTGACCAGGAAGAAATATTTCGCACATCCACCATGGAGAGAACTCTCAAGTAAGTATGACAAACCCAAAGACCGCCTTGCAACTTAGGTCAATTTTATTGACATGCAAATGAAAATTATAAATATAACTAATCATAAATACAATACTATGACTGAAACTTATTTACATTTTGAAGTTTTTAAGCATGTCCATTCATCTTCTATACAAATAAATAAAATTGAAGTATGTTTATATTGTCAAAATAATAGGTTTTATCATGCTCACACGGTTATTTGCGCGATTCCTATGCCTAAAATTCAGTTTTTCTTGTCTGTCTGTCTGTTCCGGGTAATCTTCTAAACGGCTGGACCGATTTTGATAATAACTAAACAGCTAACTACCAGGTAGCTGTCTATATAAGGACTAACTTAGGCTATTTTTCCTCTCAGAAAAACCCTATAAAATTCGGGAATCGAACCCATTAAGGCAACGCTTTTCAAATTCCACGGGTACCAAGCTAGAAGTAAATATAACGTGCTCATATAACAAAATTTTCTGTATCGCCTGATCGCAATCTATATCTACTGGCTGTTGCGTGTCCACATACAGTAGGTATGTGGACACGCATGATTGTTTATACAAGGCATTTATCAGAATGATCTTTTACTTGTTAATTAGTAACTTACCAATCTTTGAAGAAAAGAAAATGATATATAGTAATAGAATAATACAAATAATTGTGATAGCACGATTATTTGTTGTGTCTGTGTGTAATTTATCTAAAATATGTGTGTTTAGAAATATAAAAGCATTTTTATCAGCTCTCTGATTACCATAGTACTGGCTCTGTCTAGTTTGGGAGCAAGACGCGCGGCCGTGTGTGAGATGTGTCAAGTTATTAATATTATATTGAATAATTTTTTATTAATATTATATTGAAAAAAAATATATCTAAAATAGAAATTAAAACTAAACTTAGATATGCCAATAAATTATTTGTGTCTGCTATTTACTGCATTGCATACAAGACACGTGTTATTTCTCAGTTCGTTCGCAACAATTTTATTTTATTGGTAACTTGTGATAGGCATAGCTGTTACTATTTAAAATATCCTGTCGAATCCTTCACCGTTTGTAATATAATGACTACGTTATACTCCAGAATTGACACAATAATAACGGATCCTTTGTCCGGTGTCCGGCCCCGCTTCCGGTCTTATCGGCTGGGAACCATATATTGACATTAGGGAGAGCAAACGCTTTAATGGGTCAAGGTTTCTGTACTTTATGTATGACTATTTGAAATGGTTGATACGCTTAATTGGCGGTAATTAATAACAACTCGTACAAGGATATTATTTAAGGTTTGCTACCTGGTATACCTACCTGCCATTGAAATATACTATAAGCACTATGATAGGTATAATATAACTATACATTTGAAATTAAAAAAAAAAAACAAAATTTAGCACTTCTAGATTACACATGAAACTATATTGTGCGCATTCTTTACTACTTTAGTCAGTTGATTGCCTTCACCGATACCGCTCTTGCCATTTCCTCTGCTAGCCAAGTGAAAATATGGCAACATACGAGTATAACGAACAATATTATGTTATGTCCATAAAGTAGATCCTTAAGGGTAACGAGGGATTAAGCTACTACCGATCTGCATAAGTAAACCTATTGTATCATTTCCTCTCCTTAAAAAAGAGCGTTTGACCTACCATACCGTTTGTTTCAAGTTTTCTTTCTATTTGCAGTGCCTACCGTATCTATTTATGCCCTTTCTCTTTCCTTAATTCCTTCTCTATTTTCACCCCTTGATCTATTAATAAAATTAAAAAAAAAAACTACAAATGATAGGATTAAAAATCCGTCAGATTTACAGTATTTAAATGTTCTGGTTCAGTATGTGCACGAACGTAGTATGCACTAGGATTGCGATGCGTTGCGTGTGACTTTCTTTGAAACGTTAATGTGTCGTCACGATGCACAGTACACTCCTAATCTCTTACATATATGTATTACTTCCGGCGCTTTCACGAGCATGTGTCACCGTGTAATATCAGTGTTATTGACCGTAACTAGAACGAAATAAACTATTACATATGTGTGATGTACGTTACAGCTACTTAATATTTTATGTTTAATAGACATGGCTTGATGATTGAATTTTGACGAAAATTAATTAAGGTTTTAAGTTATTATTGTCTAGTATAACTTAAACTGACAGTGTGAATAGACTATTCGTACCATGAGAGGGCAATATAATGTTGGACAATATTGAACCCCTGTAACTTTTTGAAGCCGTTTAAACATAATTTCTAAAGATAAAATAATGTCGCCAAAGTTCGTCAAGGAAAACACAAAAATATTATAAACCAACCGTTTACAAAAATAGGACAAAATGGTTAGCTCTAATACTTTCCCTTTTACTATAGATTTATTTCAAGTTAAACTCATAATTCAGAATGCGTTGACAATAACGTTGGTTACTAAACGGAAAGTAGAAGCAATGTATGTATAATTATATCTATCGAACGTATATGTTTAAACTCATTTTGTAGATGGCAGGTGCTTTGTCACTTGCTTCGCATTCCCAACGATTTGTCATCAATTAAACATTAGTCATAATTAATTCTTCGTTGCGGTGGCTTTGTATAGTAGGACACAATTCGGGGGAGGCGCTATTGTGCGGCTATAAGGGAGGGCGGCGCTGCGGCACGCCACGTCCCGGATGCATTTCCGGTGCGCGTGCGCCGGTGCGGAACGCTCGTCCGCTTCACCCCCCTTGCTATTCAATTTTTAGAGATAATAAAAATACTATTAGACAGTACCAATGAATTTAATTACAGTCTATTCTTCTTACGTTCGTTTTCGTCAAAGTGTGTGTTACATTGAGAACAGAAACTAGATGTTCAATAAAGATGAATGTGGATTGTCATAAAAAGTATGACTTCATATGTTTATATTACCTAAATATGTTCATATATTATAATTGACAATTTTTGAAGATGTTTTACTGGGCGATCAAACTATATGTCGTACGCTTGAATCTTTATCTATGCTTAATGGTAGTCTGTTGTGCTTGTTAATGAACGGAAGCGATAATGATTTTGTGACCTAAGAGGTGAGGACACAGTAGCGGATATCGAAGGAAATGTCACGTCACTCGTTGAGTTAATTTAATGGGTTCTTTGTCTCGCGATACCTTATCAGTGCACTTACTATGCCTCTGTCTAAACTATATGTGTTTCACTACTATGTACCACTGATAATATACATATTAGTTATATGCTAGTTTTGTAACTGTTCTCTTCGTTACCTTTAAAAGCAATACATTAACTTAGTAGTTTATAAGTCAAAGAATTATTAGACAATAGACATGATAAAAATTAAAAAAACCGCAAATAAATATTGATACACCTATTATTCATCGTCGCCTCGTGCTCGCTAATCTGGAAAATAAAATTGATGACTTTATATTACTTAATTTATTATAAACAATGTATTAAAACGTCGAAACCGATTAATAATATTTCAGTAAAATCTATCTGCCACTCATATGTCCATTGTATGTGCCGGCAATACGTAAGTGTCAGTTGACTCATACATTATGATTGTATAAATCTCAATCTGTAAACATTTAGGAATAGTTAACAATGGTTCTTGAAGTCAACTTAACTGTGGCTAATTAGCTAGTATTAGATGACAGATTAGAAATTCCATAAACCGATCATATTTTTTAATGGCAATACTTTGTCATAAAATTTAAACATTATCAACTGTAGTTATTGGTGTTACCATAGAAAAACAGAACCAACATTTTGTAAAGATATCATCTTGAAAAAGTTAGAAGATCTTCAACATTAAACGGAAGCTTTTAAGTGATAAATTGGTCCCGGAACCTCGTGGCACGTAAAATGATCATCGCCTCCGTCTGAGCGGTCCACGGCCGGAGCGTCGGTAGTCTGAAGTGCATTGCTCTGGTTTCTTAAACTGTGGGCTATTTTGTGCTCTACGTTGCGACTCATGCCCACACTCAGAAAGGTGAATATTAAACTGATTTCGCGATTTCTCTGTGTTTAAATTGTCTTAAAGATTTCCGAATTAAATGTTCAAATTATGGGGGTATTAATTTGTCATTTTAGTGTAGTTAGATTGGATTTCTTTTCCTTTTATTGTTATTTTAATAGTTGCACAAAAGATGGTAGACGTTTTTTTGTGATTCAAATTAAAAACAAACATACAAGTTTAACGATTCAAGAAGTTATGATTTTCTAAAATTGTAATAAAAATGTACTTAATACAATTTTTCGTTTTTTTATTTGACAATTATTCCTAGCGTTTAATTTGTGCTGCCAGTCAACATAAAAAAAAACATGTTAAAAAACTATGGGACAATGAATTTTAGCATTTACTCACGACTGATTTATGTTTGTACAGTAAACAACACTATCCTACATCCGACACACGAGGACAGTGGTACACATTTAATTGATAGAGAGTATTAAACAAGTGGTCATGCTTACTGAATTCAACGTATTGATATTGGAGGCGCGAAGTATGCAATAACCAGTAAGCTTGTGCCGCCCCCGCTCTGCTGGTGGCGGTTCCGCCTCCGGTTTATAAATATCGAACCGGCGCCGGATGCTCGATGCTGCCGCCGACTCACCGAGTCACACCGCAGCTCCTCATACGCATAGCTACGTGGTAATACACTCAAGCGAGTCAATAAACCCCTTTATTGAGTTATTATCGTGTTTTACAAATAGCCACACGTAATGCGTTCAGATACTATGGTTGCTCTTTACGGTTTACTGACAGTAGATGCCTGAATCTAAAGATTGTGTAAAATATGACTACTGTTTCTCGTAATCAAAAATTTAGCGAATTGCTTTAATTAATTAAAAGTGTTTATTAAAATTTATTATTTTCCGTACCTTACTAATAGTTTTACTTTATTTTAAATTTACAACTATTTTAACACAAATATTTAAAACTATTAATATAATTCTAACAATATGTATACAGTACAGTTGGTAATAATAAAAACAGTTTTTCGTATTTATTTTTTACTCCAAAATGTAAATCATTATTTTAAACTTTCAAAACCGAAAAAAAATAGCAATAATGATGGCTGGTGCTTATTAATTAATATGAGGATAGAGTAGTACCAGTTGTTATTAATTTTTTGAATGGGCTTATTATAATTGAGCGGGGCTGAGTATCTAAAACACGAAGCGTGGCAGAGGAAGGGGAAACTTTCACCGTTGATAACGCAGTCCCACGCACATGTAGGCAGGCATGCAAAGATTTACATTACAATATAAAACTTGTGTACGTACTAGAATTATTCAGTGACATCTTTTATTATATTTACAATTGGTAGAGATAAACTGCTCTCAAATTACGCGACACTTCGTCGACATTAATATAAGTATTTAAATATATTTCTTTATAAAAATAAACTAGACCTATCTCTACCAGAACATGTCGTCAAATGTCGATGTTTCCTTGGATATTCGAATCCACTAACGTAAATATTTTTATTATAATCTTTCACATAATTGGTATTCTTAATGTCTTGCTTCTCAATAAGAACTAGATGTAGGTACGTTGCCATTTAAATTGTATTTGTTTATACCCTTTGGTCATATGCAATCAGAATCAGACTAAAGTGCCGCCATTTAGCCCAGGCAGAATAACAAAATCGCCAGAGATGTTTTAATTTGTTTCCTAAGTAGTTATTATGCTCTCTTATACATTAGACGGATGATAAAATGTAAATCGGAATAATGCCATGTATTATATGATATTGTATATAGATAGGACATTTAAATAGATTATCACTTGTTCTTTGACGATAAAAAGGAGAACTCAACATATTCTCCTTTTGGTAATCGTCTGTCTTTTTGCTACTCTAGCGTATACGACACGATTGCTCTTTTTAACGGACTTTTTTTTTAAGTTGACGGAAAAGTATCTCAATCCGGCTGTAAGTTTTTTATGTTTGTTACCTCAGATCTAGAGAAAACAACGATTTTCCAAAGACTTTCAAATTGAAGAAACAAAAGATGATTGCAAATAACACGATGTAGGCGCATTAGTTTCTTTTTTAAGTTAATCATATTATGTGATCGTAAGCACTGTAAGGATAATAATGTAACTGAGATATTCTGCTGAAAGTATACGAAACAAATGCTTAAGTGCTTAGCAATGCTTAGTGCTTAGTCACAGCTATATATCATAAATATTCCGAAAATATAAATTGGAGATTCCTCCTTCCCCCCCCCCCCCCCCCCCTCCGGCACAATATTTATTGTTATTCCTAATAAGGTAATAAGGTATTAATAAATAATAGTGATATCACTATTTGTAAAACATACATTAAGTATAATAAAATTACTTAATTATTCGAATTTATTGTTATTAAAATTACCCTAACAATGTAAATCAATAACGTTTTGTAACATTTTTGTTACACATACGAGTTATACATATGTGCTGTTGTCATAAGAATAAACACTAAAGTCCAAGAACACTATCCTATTCTTAAACTACCTTTCCATCACCGCGTTCCTAACTCTATCAGATTACACAATACTGCTTTTCCCCGAATCGGTACAATTGCTTTTCCATTTCATTGCAAGTAGACACCTATAAAGTTCTACAGCCGATCCATTGACAGATCCTATACAATTACCTGATTTATTTTATTGCTACCCCTAACTATAATTGAGTTCTCGGTAAAACTCATGCGGAATATATTCTAGTTAACGCGGTATAAAATTTAACTACATATACGTATTCATATCATGTTAATACACTGTAGGTGGAAAATGGACGATCGTGTAAGACAGTCACACCACGCGGCCTTAATATTGGATCTCTGCAATAAATTATTTGCGACCGGCGAAAACTGATAACATTTGTTCAGTGTGAATAAAATATTAAGTGTGTATTCTGATAAATTTGACGCCTGACACCAATAATTACTCGTAAGCAAAATTGTCCTGCAATTATGCTTAGAACGAACCTCTAATGATATTAAGTGTATCAGCGTGTTCATAGTACTGTAAGTGAAGAGCTTTGTAATATAAATGAAGAGTTCTGTAATGTAATATTACTATTACCACCTCAGGGTCATTCACGACGGATGCGATATAATTTCATACCACTGCTACATCAACGAGTACTTGTACGTACCCGTGAAATTTGTACATTATTTGCAAAGCTTTTAATGGACCTCTGGGATGGCTTGACATCATCAGATGCTTGTGTCGGATCAGACGAGGGTGACCTTTTAATATTTTAATAAAATAAATAAAAATTAAGATAAAATATTGCCTAAATTCAGGAACGCCACTATGTAACATTAATTATGCCTATTGAGTAAACAATTTAATCTCTATACACTTATTACATTGTATTTTGATTATAAATCCTAATCAACTTCTTAAAATGCTTAAAAGCTATTAAGCAATTTATTTTTTGTAATTAGTGTTTAAATTTATCATATCAGTAGTCGATTAAAGAACCTAACCTCTGAGATGTATAATTTACGACGATGTCTCTTTCACAAAATGTATATATCATATATTTTTTCGTTTTTATAGACAAAGTACTCTTGACTATTAGAACGTGAAATATAATTATGAAATAAATATAATACGAATATATTAGGGTGTGTTTACTATTACAAAATTGTAACCATTGCTTATTTTATTGTTATAGCCCATTCTTCGGCGAGGAGTTCCAGTTTGAGGTTCCAAGACGATTCCGATACCTCTCTATATACGTGTTCGACCGCGACAAGCACCTCAAACAAGATAAAGTTCTTGGCAAAGTGGCTATCAAACGAGAAGATCTGCACCGGTATAATAACAAAGACCATTGGTTTGCATTACGACCGGTCGATGCAGACTCAGAAGTGCAAGGGAAGGCATATATCGAACTCACACTTGAAGACTCCAGGAAACGATTACGAATGGAACCGAAGCCACCTGACCCTGACCCCGTTTCCGATACCTGCTCTACAAAAAGTAAAGGAAATAACTTAGTTAGATTATCTGAATATTGTAAAGAAAGTATGAGATTTGGATCGTGCTCGAGTTCGACAAGCAAGAAAATGTTAAGTGCGGTCGCCACGGAACCCTCTTTGTCGCTATCTCGATCAGAGAGTTTAAAAGATCGAGCGCAGTGGGCGACTCGAACGAAGCCTCCCATGCACGCGATGCCCGAGTCTGATGCATCTCCCACTCCCACGGCTGCTGACTACTGGTCAGACCCTGAGAGACATTGCGCAGCGCGCGTAGGACACGATACCTTACGTCTTCGAGTGCTAGAGTGTTCCGAACTTACAACAAAAAATGGACAGTGTGACCCTTTTGCTCTCGTGACGTTGTTATATTCAAACGGACGAAGAGTTGAAAAACGCACGAAGCCTAAAAAGAAGACTGTTAATCCGCAATTTGACGAAATTTTTTGCTTTGATCTCGTTATGGAAGCAGACCCGAAAGATAAAGACGGCTCACAATCGGTAATCTATTTTCAAATACATTACTCAATTTCATTTATGTTGTTGTTAATAATTATTGGTTGGAATTTATGATTTCATTGTTTATTTAGGCAGGTGTAGCGTGTGAAGCCAGAGTGTCGGTGTGGCACGACGCTACGACACCGATTTTCCTTGGTGAAGTGCGATTACAGCTTCGACAACCTTCACCAACACCTCTCCGTGCTTGGTAAGCAAAAAAATTATAAAACAAAAATTAATTCAACAATATAAACACCTTATTATAAATATTAAGGTGGTTAGATTTAAAAAGAAAATTATTAAAAATATAAATCTACAGATATGTTTAAAAAGTTGAAAGTTAGGATGGAACTAACTTGCAATGTAAATGAAATCATGGATGGCAATATAGTTTACTTTCTTTTCACATCAGTGGTATTCTATTTAACCTTATTTGCACTGAGATTCTGGGCGAAGTATATGAAAGAGCAAATAATGTATTAAATTACTCATACTTATATGTATACAATACTAGGAATAGTTAAATATATTGTTGTTAGAGTAGTATTACAATTAAGTGTTTCTTTTTGTGTGCTCACAAATTCTAGTAAAGATGACGTAGTCAACCGCAACATTATTCACTTTGAATATTTGAACATCTGATCGCGTGATGATTAACAGTAGCAAAGATATAAGGAAAAAACGTGGAATAACTTTTGTATAAAAGGCGATTTCAAAGTTTGGAATGGAATTTAAACTTAATGAGTTTTAAACGTTGTAAATGTATCATTAAAAAGAAATGAATAATAGAAATACATTAATTTAAATTATTTTACGCCTAGCATAATCTTTTAATTTACCATTAATGCTTAGGTTGTACGTTGTACCTATGTAGGGAGGTGAAAATATCCCAGGTTGCTCATTAAAAGAATGCTTCATATGTTTTTCGCAATATTTGAACGTAAAATAACAATTAATTACAATGCCTGTATCACTGGCAGGTTCTTTCTAACGTCGCGTGCTGGAGGCGCGTTGTCTCGCGGTGCCACGCCACCGGGCACGCGTCTTTCGGCCGCTGGAAGCGCTACCCTCGGATCTCTGCGGCTACTGCTCCAGTATACCGTCGACCACGTCTTCCCAATACAGCATTATCAGAGATTGGAAGAGCTTTTTCTTAGAAGTGTTCGTCAAAAGGTAATAATGCTTACTTTACTTTTTCTTATTACTTAAACAGCTAAGAACGTATAAAGGTAATGCTCCTGATAGCATTAAGTTGGTTGATTATTAACAAAAACTTATATACGAAAAATACATTCGTTAAATATGTATTATTGTATGTTTATAGCTCTATGTCCATTTTAATAAATACAAGTGCAGAGAATTTAAAATAATCTTACTTATCACTGTGTCATGTCACTGAAACCTCTCTTTTTTTAATTTCAGCCAATCACAGCATCAGCAGTGTACATATTAGGCGAGATAGTACCGAGTAAGACGGATGCGGCACAACCCCTCGTGAGGCTATTCACACATCATGATCTCATCGTGCCCATCGTCAAGGAGCTCGCCGATGCTGAGATATCTGCTCTCACGTAAGCTTCTACTCAATGTTAATTGATTTTTTAACCCCTTTATATACTTTTAATGATCAGAGTATGCTCTCAAAACATTTTATGGTCGGTCAATTGTGAATGTGTACGTCTAAAATGGTCATATGTACTGTGACAAAATAAGACACCTATCTCGTGTAAAATGTGTAAGTAAGTAATATAATATATTGCAGTGACGCAACGACGATATTCCGAGGCAATACTCTAGTGTCTAAGATGATGGACGAGGCCATGCGCCTGAGTGGCGCGTCGTACCTCCGCGCCGTGCTGCGGCCCACGCTGGCGGCCGTGCTGGCCGAGCGCAAGCCCTGCGAGATAGACCCCGCCAGGGTCAAACCTTCCGCTGCCATTGCCTCCAACCTCGCTAATCTCAAAGACTACGTTGAACGGGTACGTTTTACAATAAGATGTTCACTGCCAATATCATTTCAAAATTATTTAAGTCGTCGGTATAAAAACAACAACACGTCAATATTAAAACAGCTAGGCGCTGTTGATTTAGCGTCGATTGATGAGAAATTTAACAAAAGTTCAATAACAACAAAAAAAAGACGAACCCAAATAGTCTTAAGACATGATAATAAAGATATTTTATTTTTAATTTCTGTCCGAAAAAGTTGTACTGCAGTCTACAATTTGCAGGATTTTTTGCGATACTAGTTTGATAACATCATACTAAGACGCTGTCATCACAACTTTTTGCAAATTCTAATAGTTTAGATAGCCTATCACCAATGTCATGCCAAATCGTTAAGCAATCGGGTATCATTCCATATCATTTTGTACGGTAGGTGTTCGCGGCGATAACGTGTTCGTACGCGACGTGTCCGTCGGCGATGTGCCGCCTGTTCGACGCGCTGCGGCAGTGCGCGGCGCGGCACTTCCCGCGCAACGCCGAGGTGCGCTACTCCGTCGTGTCCGGCTTTATCTTCCTGCGGTTCTTCGCGCCCGCCATACTCGGACCGCGCCTCTTTGATCTCACTACAGAACAGATTGTAAGTACTTTAAAAAGTAAGTAATTTAAAAAGTTATGAAAAAAAGAGTTTTGCTTTCACCTGGGATAACAAGTAGTTCATGAGTCATAAATATTGAGTACCTTTTTTTTTTTTTAACGTGTGGAAATCCCGTCGAACCGTCACCGCACCGGGGTTTGCGGCGGGGTGGTGTGTCGGACTCGGACCGACTAAAACCACACGGTGTGCCACTCTGCGCCTGTAACAGGAGGGATCCGGGAACAGCTGTTATTAAGACATCCGGACCACTCCTAGCGCCAGCCCGCTCCTGGTGCGGGCTCCGTCTCAAAATTTTCCTCTCTTAATATTGAGTACCTAATTCAACCTCACATTATGTAAAAACAATCAAACATTTATAGAATAATTTTAAGTAGACTATTCTCTATGTTACTTTCAATTTCTTAATATGAAGCAATATTTGGTATTAGCAAAAAATGTGAAATGTTTCTTTCTATCTTAACATTGCACAACGTTTTATTGACATAACACAGACTAAATAAATTGGGAATTACTCTGCTAAGGCTTTTAATTAAACTTGCAGAACGTGACCTAAAACGGTCGCACGATGTATTCCTTAGTAATTCCTGGCTTGACTGGCTTGTTGACTGGTGGTTATTGACCTTGACTGCTACGCCGGAGGTCGTGGGTTCGATTCCCACCCAGGACAAATAATTGTGTGATGAGCACAGGCATTTGTTCTGGGTTTAGGTGTACTTTATCTATAATATGTATGTATTTATAAATATATAAGTATGTTTATCAGCAGTCTAGTTACCATAGTACAGGCTCTGCCTAGTTTGGGATCAGGCAGCCTTGTGTGAAATGTGTGAAAATATTATATTAAATTCTTTTTTTTGTACTGGAAGCAGTTAAAACACTTAATATATACTTTTATAGTTATAGTTAGCAATAGATCAATTTGTCAGGGAATACCTAAAGAATTCAATCTATTCGAGTTCCACATAACTGCTTTTCATCGTTAGCACCAGTAGTAACTCGCGCGTCCTGATACGAAACACAAATATGAATATAACATAAATTGTAACCTGAGTTTTTGTTCAATAACTAAACGCTTTGGCGATATTTCAGGACCCACAAACGAACAGGACTTTGACGCTGATCTCTAAGACTATCCAGTCTCTAGGCAACTTGGTGAGCAGCCGTTCCGCTCAGCAGGTGTGTAAAGAGGAGTATATGGCGGAACTGTACCGCAGCTTCTGCACGCCAAGACATGTAAGTACATTTTTGTTGCACAAAAAACTAGCTACTTGTACACGTATTTAAAACAAAAAGTTGTTGAATCCATACTACAAACTCGCTTCATTTGGGTCTAGAAAGCAGTGTGTAACATATCCCAAGATATTATTACAGTGTAAATAGATGCTTAGTTAAGGAAACATGCATTTTTCTTGGAGGCAGACGCAAGATACAAAAATACTTCATAATAATTAGCTAGGAACAATATTTGTGCATTTTACCTCTTGCTCGTCCACATGAATAAGCCTGTCCGACATGCTTAAGTATCTTGGAGAAGCAGCGTTAAGCATAGCCACTAATTTCTTTTTTGATGTATTCCAGGTGCAAGCAATAAAACAGTTCCTAGAAATTATCTCCACAAGTACAGACACACAGAACAACAATATCCTAGAAACACCTGTACTGCTCAAAGAGGGGTCAGTTTCCTTTATTTATGTTATTTTTATATTGATTACTATTATTTACTTTAACGACTTCTTTATAATGTCAGTATAAAGTTGAGATCAAATATCATCCATAATTTTTTTTTAATGTCCTTATGCCTTCTTGGACTAGATACGGGTGAGTATGGTAATAAAGATTGTAAATTTGACTTGTCGCTTAATATTTCATTAAATTTGGATTTTAAAGTACGATATAGCTTTATCGTACTGATGACTGGTAAGATTTATAGGGTCATTAACCTAGTGTTAATTTTTAATTTGCTATTTGGTTGAATCTTTATTATAAAAATAATTGAGTTCAACTACTGATAAATCAAAGAAAATAATTGTTGCTGTTTGTATGAAAATAGGTGTAAATAAGTATTCTGTCAGTCAATCTACTTTTCATAGTACAAGCTCAGCTTAGTTTGAAATTATATGGCATTGTGTGTCAGATTTCCAAGAATATTAAATATTAATTGCTTTGATTAAGTATTACAATGTTAATATTGTACAGGACGATGATAAAAAGGTCGGAGGGAGGACGGGCGATCGCGGGGTCCCCTCGACGACGGTGGACGCGAGCCGCCCACGCGTATGCCAAGAGGCGACACTTTCGACTTACAAGGTTAGCCAAATCTCATATTTCATGAAGATAAACAGTTTTTATTTAAACGGTCATACAAGTTCTAGGTAGGAATTGTACTGTTATTAATTAACGCTATACAATCTGAATAGTTCTTAATTGTTTCAAAGCAAGAGTAGCTATTAAAATGATTTTGCACAGTGAGTCTTCTCCTGTACTGTACGTTAATTAAAAGAATACTAAAATGTTAATTGATCGTCATAGTGTTCTACTTGTGTCCTTTAATAGTCCACTGCTGGACATAAGCCTCTCCTTTTTCCTTTCTCCAGACCAGACTAGTTGGTGTAGGGTTTGTGTCAAGTTTTCTTTCTCTCTGCAGTGCTTTCGTCCTGCGTAGTTGGCACCCTTAGTCGGCTCTTACGGGGTTGATTAGGGGTGGTGACACTCTGTATTCTTAATCGGTCACCACACGGACTTGAACTGTAACAGTTGAGTATAACGTAATGTGTGTCGCAGTGGTGAGTTGACGTGGTCCCGTTGCGGCGCCAAGACGCCCGCGCACCGTCTGGCGCTGTCGGGCGTGCTGGCCGTGGCCGCCGTGGACTGCCCGCCCGCCGGCGCGCCGCTCGGAGCCAACAACATCTTCCAGATAGGTGTGTACCCAGCGTCAACTGACGTGCTATCGCTACGGGCTTCTCTCGCTGCTGCTCACTAGTCTCCACGGGTACACTACAGAAATACGAAAAGCTTTATTCCGTCAGTCACAAATACGAATTTTAAAATACCGATTTTCAAGATCCCGCACGGTTCAAAATTCCGAATATAACTCACTCGATCATTTATCCTTTTTGTATAATTCAAAAATTTCAATAATTCTCACGTTTACATTTATTCTTACATTATGAAATGCTCACTTTTGAAAGCGGAACATCGAAACACGGAATAAAATATTTCAGAGTATTACGGTGTTCTCAGTCTAAACCGATGGATGAGTTAATTACTTGCAGAATTGAAATTGAAATATAATTTGCAAGTGCATAATTGTGTGAAAATCGGACCACTAGATGAATAATAACAAAAAAAACTGTAAATATTGATTAGAATTTTAATTATTTTTTTTTTTAGTTTTCTTACAGAATAAAGTTTTTTTTTTTTCGTACTCATTACAAGAAATATTTGTTGTGATTTCAATGCTGTTTCTTCAATCTTGTATGTTATATAACTATTTTTGTGTGTGCATAGTGCACCGCGAGCGCGTGGTGTTCGTGCAGGCCAGCAACTGCGTGGAGCGCGCCGAGTGGGTGCGGCTACTGTCGGCGCTGTGCCGCCACTCAGCCGCGCCGCCTCACGCCGGGTACTATGCGCACACGCACTGGACATGGTAACTACTGCCTTGGTTCACAATATTTAAACACACCGAGATCATACACTCATTTATACGAAAACATAATATAAACATCGTTATAAACAAACAATGTTAAAAATGTAAACCGTTTTTGTTTTAAGTGCCCGTGGTATTGTATTTCAAAAACGACGAATTTATTTAATTCTAAACGCACATACGATGGCAAAGTACAAGTTTTAAAGATGTACAGTAGTTTACTGTACATCTTTAAAATATTATTCCTAATATTTTAAAGTAGTAATATTATTCCTAATTTTTTTCGGGCGCTCTGTTGGGCCGCTCGGGAAAAAAACTGCGAGTGTGTAGTAATAAACTGTAACCGTCATCTCTGTGAGCGAACGTCAGTCATAACGTATGTGGTCGTCAGCTGCGAACGGGCGGAGCCGGATGCGGAAGGGTGCGGCGGCACGGAAGAGAACGGCGCGGCCACCAGCGTCACGCACGCGCCCGCCGCGCTCGCACTGCGCATCGACCCGCCGCGGGACCTGCAGCGACTTCACGCGCTGCTCGTTTCGCACGCCTCACGCCTCGACGACCGCCTCCATCGCCCCCAAGGTTTTAATTTTTTTCAGCTATAAATGTTTCTATTTTTGCTTATAATAAAACCTCCCGTTTCCGAACATAAAGTATTCATTCATTCGACTGCACCAATGGCGTAATGGTTTAAGCGCCACGCCGCTTCCTACTATGCCGAGTGTTGTGGGTTCAAACCCCACATAGGACGACACTTTGTGTGGTCTACAAATTGTTGTTCTGAGTCTGGGTGTTCTTTGTGTCCGTTTCATGTACGTTTGTAAAGGCCCCCGCGACACAGGATATACTCGTATACCTAATGCGGGCGTTGTCTTTTTAAACAAGAATAAAAGAAGAATATTTTTATTTTAAAGTATATATACTATTTAGTTTTAATCTCTATTTGTTTTTTTTTTTCAGAAACTGCAAGTGTAGAAGAGCGCGAAGCGGAGGCAGCTACGCTTCGTGAATTGCAGGAGACCATGTTCGACCTCGAACATCGACATCGGATATACAGACGTTCGCTCGCCCGCGAAACCAAATATGGCAGCAAACAGGCACCCATCGGTGACGACAACTACCTGCACCTGGCTGGTGCGGCGGGTGCCATCGATTCTGGACAATTCCTGTGGCGATCTTGGCGAAGTGACACTTCGCCGACCGTCGACCTAGACGGCAAAACTTTACCGCTTCACACCTCTTTAGACCTCGCCTCTAGCACGGAATCGCTCAAGATCGCGCGTCATGCCGATGAACGCTCGTCTGGTAAATCCACCAAGTCTACCGGTAGTGGCTATCTCACCATGTCGTGCATCAAGCACGAGCCGAGCGAAGACAGCGACGCTTCTGCGGGACGACCTGCTCGCCCTCCTAAGCCGGCGCGACTATCGCCCGCACGAGCACACGCGCCCTCCGTGTGCGAGTATGTGCACGTGGAGCCGCGGGCGCCCGAGCGGAGAGCACGGCCCGACACCGCGCCCGAAGCCGACCTCGTGTATCGCTGCAAGGAGTACGAACTGATGACCGACTTCATGAGCCATGCGCGCGCTTCCGACGAGGAGATGCCGCCTGCCGTGCCGCCGCGAGGCAACACGGCTCGAGCCCGGCCTCCGCCTCGTCCTGCGGATACCGACTCGTCACCGCCCCGACCAGTCGCTTTACCGGCGTCCGATCCGTTACCTGAAAGCCTCGAAACCTCCTGTAAGATGGACACTATTTCTACAGACGACAGTCTACTCGACGAGCTTCAGCGCGATGCTTACTGCGTTTTAAAAGTGTGCGAGGACGAAACGCCCGCGCCCGAGCAGACAAATACGTCTGTGGAACAGCCGAAGGTAGATGAGAGGCGAGACTATGGACCGTTTTCGCGGGTTTGCACCCAGCGGAAATCGAACCCCATCAAAAGCCAAACGAGTTCTTCGCGACCGCTGAAGACCTCCAGCTCGACGTCGAACGTGCACGACGCCGGGACGACATCGTCACGGCCGCTGGCCGAACGTCTCACGCCGTTTTTTCTTAAAAGAAAATCGAAGCCACCGGAGGAGACGGCACCGCGCTGCACGCGAAAGGAGGAAAATCTCATCGGACGCCTCACGCCGCGTTTCGGTCAGTCGCGACTGTACGGTCGCGGTCAGTCGCTCGAGCTCGCCCCTTCGGAGGAGCGAACGAGGCGCATCGAGCGGTCGGCGACCACCGTCAACATCCCCTCGAGGCCGATGAACCTCAAGTTCCTCAGCCTGCACCGCTACGGGCCGCAGGAGGCCGCGGTGGAGGCGGGCGGGCCGCGTGCGGAGGGTGCGGAGGGCTCGGGCGGCTCTGCGGGTAGCGGAGAGGCGCTGGATGCGGCGTGGCGCCGCAGCCACGCTCCGTCGCTGCTGGCGGCCGCCACTAGCGACATCCGCCTCTAGCCATGTACGATACGTGCCAGGACTCAATTATTTAATTAAGGCTGTATTTATTTCTATATTTTTCGAGATCCTTTTCGTCGACCTGAAGTGTGTGCCTCCTCTAGATAATAGTATATTTCTAGAAGAAAGCCGGAACGTTTAAGTATATCATAGATGGTAGCGTTAGTTGCGTAAATACTCAGAAGGTGCCAAGTGTTGTGCGAGTCCTTGTTGACGTCGGGCGTACTCTCATTCCTGTAGCACTATAATATTGTAAACTCTAAACATTGACATTAAATTTGTATTGTTTTGTATAATCGGTGTCCGATGTAACTTGAACGTAGCAATACGCTGTAACGTACTTTAATATATTTTTTTAATCGTTGAGCGTGTCACTTGCAAAGTGACACTTTTTTCATAAATAACTCGTCGGCTTTAGACAGCTGATCGTCGTGTTATAAAAGTAACAATTGTGTAAATAACTTTTGTATAGTTGCTCCAACGATCGCACTGCTTCCGACAAATTGTTACCTCTATCCAATTTAGCACCGTAAATGTACTTAAGTTTAAAATAATAATATTTTGATATTACTGATATTGATTACTTCTACTAATAAAATACTACTACTAATAAAAACCTGTTGTTGTATTAACGAGTCTAAATATTATGTCAAATTATGGCCTTAATGCTATTACGCCTACGTTTACGGCCTGCAGGTTAAACACCATTTACTTAACTGTGATTCACTTTACAAACTCAGCTCATATTTTATCGTATATAAAATATTGTAACAATATTATAGTTTGTAAATATAATATTAGTCAATTATAAAATTTTAATTAAAATTGTATCGAATATTCGCACTTGGAAGTTACAATTAGGTTTATTGATAATTTTTGTGAAAAGTAATTGCCAAACATTTTATCTGTTGTTATACTACTGAGATTTATGACATGTTTTTACGTTATTTATTTACATTTCATAACAACAATATTGTTTACACATTTTGACGATATCTTGGTTAATTATGATAATGGTTGTGTTTCATCCATATACATATTATTTTATGGGCGTGCCTCCCTAAGGCCATCTATGTTATAAGTGCTAGGTATTAGTTATTAACAGCATTAATTTTGAATCTTGTGTATTGGTTAAACCATAACAATTATTTGATTGCATTTTTAATACCGAATGGAACAGTGTAACTACTCATTACTTACACTGTTCCAAATATTACCACCCACAAGCGTCAATCGACGCAGCTAAACCTTCGCACATGCATAGTCATCCATAAGTTTGTCTATTCAATGTTTTCAATGTTTCTACAAGAGATATTGAAGAGTTGACGCATTTTCTTAAACGCTTTTGAAGTGCGTTTTTTTTTTTCATTGTTGTTAAATATTATTATTGTTAAAAATCTTGAACATTATTTATGTATATGAAATAATGTTTGTGAGTACACTTATATATTTTTTTTAAACTATATTTCTTGGTAGTATAATGGCAGTATTGTTTATTAACTCAATTGGTATTTTATGTGCGTTATTGCCTTTTGTAGAAAAATATAATTTACATGTAAGAAAAAATACATAATGTACAAATTAATACGACATGAAAATATATTATGTTATTTATTTCCACCTATTTTCATTTTGGTTATAAACCACTGACGGTAAAATTCCGAAGAACACATTACGTTAAAATGGTAAGTATTTATCTAATAATGAAAAAAGCAAATTAACAATATTTTTTGACAACAAAACAATTAATAGTAAAGTGAGGGAGCGAGCTCCTTTTGACTACGATCAGTAAACAAGAAGAGAAATATGGCTTGTTCAAGCAGAAAACTGACTGTTAAGACATCGTAGTGACAGTAGGTTAGTTGAACATGGTGATTTTGATACCATTTGTTTAAAAGCCATTTTTTATTGCTTTTAATTTCAATAAATAAAGGTACAAAACAGGTATGTTTGTATGTGTATATATATGTTTACAATACTTATATGTATGTATTTATATCAGTTGTCTAGCTCTGCTTAGTTGTGACTGAGGTGTGCGTTACCCCAGCAAAATAATGTCGAAAATGGTCATTTAAACGTTATAGATAATTAGTTGCCCCCCTTCTGTAATTGTTAAGCACATTTTTAAATTTGTTTCTCTTATATTTTTTTTGTTATTTCAAAAAAACATTTCCTGCTGGAGTAACGTTTGAAACGTTACCGCAGCCAGACATTTTCTTTTTTAATTGTAATATTGAAATAAATTTTAGCTAAATAATTAGTTATCTGGACTAGGTAAATGTTACAACTTATTTGGTATTTGTATTTTCTTCGGCTGCGAAGTTATTCGAAATCCTGCTGGGGTAACGTTTGTGGGTTTGCTGGATCTCTGAAACGGGTAAGCGGATTGTAACCATCTTTTGTACATAACTTCTTAAGGATTAGTTTTAATTTGTTCGACAATAAAATAACAAAAATAATGAACCGTTTAAAAATTATTTAGGTAAGTATGAAAACACTTCAATACGTCCTAACACCTTGAATAAGACCTCTAAAGACTTACTGTAAACGTTATTCTATTGCTTGTAACTGCCTTCAAATGTATACGAATTTTCGTTAGTATACTGTTAGTGACTAAAAAGTTATGATGAAATGTAGCTCTCCACGTTCACGATCACAATGTGTGCGGCCTTTTTTGGCCACCGATAAACCTGTCTGTGGATATATAAACTCAATGTTATACCAATAATTAGTTGTTTAGTTCAGTTGTCTACCTGTAAAATTTCAGCGTCGTACATATAATAATTTACGAGATAATTAAATAAAAGTCATTAGAAGGTGCAAGACCGTGGTAACCCGACCATGTTTAGGTGGTTACGAAAAAGCGATCACCTAGTACATTGTGCTGGCTTTTAAAATATGTAGGATATAGTTTGCAATTTTAGTACGGATATGTACATAAGTGTTACAAAAAACTACGTTTCTTGAATAATTTTTATTTATATGCAAAATAATAATTTTAAAATATTAATTAAAGTTAAAAACAATCACAGATAAATATTACAAACAGTAATTCTGTTTTTATGACCTTATTCATGTAAAACAATCACAGATAATAACAGATATAGCCTATAGAATGAATGTTTTCAATTCACTATACCTACCTATGCCTACTTATATCGTTAAAAATCACAGATCTGTGGTAATATTACCTTACATCACAATGTAGTAGAATACTTAGAGTAAGTCCTACTGTTTTATCTTCTAATTTAAAATACCTCAAATATTTTTTTCTTTGTTTATACAAATTATTTAAAAATCACAGACAGAGAATGTAGTTGACTACATTCAAATAATTATGTAAGATTTACTTTTAACAAATTACAATCTCAAATAGTCATGTAAAGTAAAATGTATATACCTATTATTCTAAAATTAAGTTAGTTATCGTATAAAAAAATCACAGATCATTTTGTAAAATGAGTATCAAGAAACGTAAGTTACTTTCTAAAGCGATACTTTTCATTCACAGACATCTAGTTCTAGTTATCTTTTTAAAAACATATTTGTCAAATAAAATTACTAACATTAAAATTCACAATTTTAAAGTATCCACCATAGCATGTAAAGTGACCGTTGCATTATGATAGCCACTAATATGACGGACGGCAACAAGGTTATTTCAAGATTAAGTTCTAAAAAGTAGTTTTATATAAATTTGTATATATTCTGATATTATCAGATTTATAATAATCTATAAATATTATGATAATGTATAAATAATCGCGTGAGGCATTAAATTAATATGACTTTTTTAAGATCCATTAGGAAAATTAGGAAAAACATAATAAATAATAGGTAATAATAATGAATAAATATTGAATGTATTTAACACTGTACGCAACTGTACCGAAATCGTAAGGTGTATTACACTAAACATTTTAAAAGACAGCACTATGTATAACTAGCGGCACGTAAGTCTAGCGCTGAGCGGAACGTGGAAGGGATAGCCGCGCATGGGTACTATCGCGCACGCAAATATTAACTTTAGTAAATAGTTAATGTTATAGAGTGTAACTTCTGAAAGTTGTTCACGTGCCAGAGTCGTCAAATTTGAATTTCTTTATTTTCTCAACAATAGGTACAAAAGGTAAGTAAGTAATCATACTATATAACATTATAAATGTGAATGTAAGTTTGTTTGTTACGCTTTCACGTGAAAACTACTTAACCGATCATCATGAAACTTTGTACACATATTGTTGGAGGTTTTAGAAGTAACATATGATACTTTTTATTAAAATAATATTTTTTACGAAAGATAAAACTGCGAGCGAAGCCGCGGGTAAAGGCTATAAGAATATATACAGACAGTTATTGTGCTTGTAGGAGATGGGAGCCTGCACTGGGTTGAACCAGTATTATTGGTCTCCATGTGTATTAACATTTAAATCTTAAGTAGTAAGTCTTAAGTAATAAACGTGTATGTTAAAAAAAAAAAGTACTTTGTTTGTGCGTGTGCGTGGTGTGCGTGCGTATGTATGCGTGAGTGTATGTGTATGTCATTATTATAGTTTATAGTTCCAATATCAAAAAAAATTATGTTACCCAGGATTTTTAACAAGTTTATAGGAAGTAGAAAAATTAAAACAGAATTAGTTGAACTATAATTATATGCAATTCACTTTGTGAAAGTTTTCAACTTAGCAGTTTATTATCTAAACAATGATGCTTGATTTGTCGCATTAAATACCACAACAATTAACGCAGTCCTTTCCCTACCACAACATACGACTGTAACGTTAAATAATTTTAAAACGCTTTTTTTATGTCTTCTGTTCCCAGCTGCAACCTGCATTGTCTTTAAATGAGTATTGTATTTATTGCAACAAAAATTAACAGCGATAACAATATAACTCAGAACGCGACTGTACTCTGGAAGCACGCGGCGTGTCGTATCAGTGCGGGGGACGTAATGCGACTGGAGAGCCAATCGGCGCTACGCACGCCCGCCCTTCGTC